TAAGTGCATATTATCTAATGATCTTATTTTGAGAGTAAAAATACTCATTCTATTGGCAAATCATCTTATTTACCTCCTCAAATAAAGTGTAAATGGAATTAATTTGAGAAACTTGTACTTATTTCTAGAAGGTTTTTGCAGTTTGCTGATTTGACAGAACCCTGCACTGGAAAAAATCGAAATGTAGAAAAGTTTTTTTTTAAATAAGTACATTTGTTCTTGAATTGAGGAGATAAAAGAGACATTTTGCCAATGGAACAAAACAATTTACATTTAAAATAAGAAAACATTATTTCAAGTGCATATTATCTAATTGTCTGATTTTATTTGTCTTAATTATATTTTCATTCCATTGGCAAATTATCTCATTTAGCTGCTCAAATTCAGGGTAAATACACCTAATTTAAAAAATATTTACTTATTTCTAGATTGTTTTTCCAGTGCGGCCCTTTTAATGACTTGATAATGCTGATATAGAAATTAGCTAAACCTGATGAAATAGTGGGCTGGTAAGAAACAAGACTTTTTCACTTTAACTGGTTTATGTTGTTTTCAGATTTCCTCTAGAGGGAAAGATCAAAACCAGTGAGATGAAAGTGAACTGGTAGGTGTGACGTCTTATAAAACCGTTCCTCTCAGTAAGTTTGGTGGAAATCAGCCATGCTTGTTGTTGTCTTGCAGCCTGATTCAGGCTCAGCTGAGCTCCATCCCAGTTCAGGACTTTGGTCTCACGCAAGAGACGGCAAAGATCTTCCGGATCGGGATGCGCATCAGCAAATGTGAGGCTTCTGAATTGGAGAAAAAAGCTGTGAAGATTCAGATTATCCAGGTTTTATCTTGTGTTTTCTTCTCAACAGGCCTGTCAGAGTTCCTCATTCATCAGGCTAAGGCCGGTTTCTCTGCTGTGCTGAACTCCCTGATCTTGGCTAAGTGCTTCAGAGCTAAAGTTTGGGAAAACTCTCCTTTTGTTTCCAAACAGATCGAGAAAATAGGTCAGTTTGTTGCCACTATTGATTACAGGTTTAAGGCATCCTTATGCCTACATTTCTAAAATGGGATTTTCCTCTGTCAGGTAATTTGCTGGTAACTTTTTGTGTTTGAAGGTCTGACTCTGTCTACTGCGATGGTGAATGCTGGACTCACCAGTTTCCCGAAAATAGAGCAAACCAACCCCAGAGAGCTGGAGCTGGTCAGCCCCACCAGATGATTCACAGAGCTTTTTTCTCTTGTCATTAGTCATGAAATGTGTTTTTATTTGACCCTTTTGCATGCTTTTTACTCACCTGCTAATAGATTTATTGTCCCCATTTAGATTCTTAACCGACATCCACCATTTGGAAACCAGATCAGAGACTCTGTCATACATCTCCCAAAGTACGATGTCAACCTGGAGCAGGTGGGCGCCACTGCAGACAAAGGAGGAAAAAAACTTTCTGTTTTTTTATGGCTATGAATAGGCAGACATCTTCTGTATTCATTGAAAATATTTATATTCACTTCAGGAAAGAAGTCTAGAGCTGCATTTCTCCTCCTGTTGTTAATCGTCTCTAGATAATAATAAATTCTAACTTTTATCATTTAGTGGGGGAATAATAATGAACATAGTCAGATAAACACAAACCAAATGAACATTTTGCCAAATAACACAAAATAACCTCCATCAGAGCCAGCGGTCCTTCACACATGGCTATGGCTAACGTTAGCCCTGACTGCCGTTACCCTCGGAGGTCCGCTGGTTTTCGCGGTCCTCAACTTTGGAAAAAACTATTTAATTATGCAATAAGTCAGTAAATGGGCCTTATGGTGATGCTTAAAGTAAAATGTTCTCGTCTCAAATGATCTTAAAACGTACTTTTATTGAACAACAGCAACTGAAAAGAGAACTTTTAACTTGATACTCTGAGCTAAGTGAGCGCTAACCTGGAAGCTGCTGCTGCTGCAGTGCATGCTGGGACAGCTGGCAGTCTCAAGAACGGACAAGTCTGCTCTGATGCATGCTGGGTAAAGAGGGAGGGGCAAGAACAACATCCAGGGACTTTGTCCATTTGCTGTTGTTCTTGTGAATTGGAACAGTACTAGGGCTGAGGCTGATGACGTTTCACGAGGACACAAGAGAAACGGCCAATGTCACCATTTGTTGATCTCTGCAAAGCATGCTGGGTTGATGATGCGGTTAGGTCCTACTGAGTAAACATAGGAATGCTAACATCTGGTCTAAATGTAGACAGTACCACACTAAGTTGCTGCCTCAAGAGTTTTCATGAACTGTTATACATGAGATATCTATCTACTGTTTTCTATATCAGGCAGAGCTAACACCGTTAGCAGAAGCTAAAGTGAAATCTGAATCAAATAGGAATATAATGAACAACTGTTTAAAGTGACAGTGAATCGTCTTTCAGTAAGATGTCGTTCTAATATACCTGAGAAAATATTTTGATCCTGATGCTAACTGCTAACAGCTTTGCAGCATAGCTCTCCATCTTGGTTAGCGTCTCCAAGCAGCAGCTGCATAAACACCAGCTTCAGCCAGCTCTCCCCTTTTCCTCCACTTAGTTCTCCTCATCTTCATCACCTTGTTTTATTCTCATCAATGAATCACTCTGGTTCAATTTGAAAAGCATTTTATCATTTAAGCAGAACATCAGGTTACTAAACAGCTTAGATGTTTTTGGTCTATTCATACATTGAAAAACAGAAATACTTTTCTTTCTTTCTTCTACGGCTTCTTGTTATTCTTTTTAGGGAAATGATGGATAACTTGGCCACCTTTACATCTATACGTAGATAGCTAATTTATCTCCAATTATTATTATTTTTTTAATGTAAGGCTGTGTGATTGTTTAAAACATGTTTTCTGTGCTGCTGTCTTTACCAGGACGATCTTTGAATAGAGATTTTAGTCTGAGTAAGATTTCCAGGTGAAATAAAAGTTAAAGCAATAAGAAAATATTAAAGCTGTTTGACTGTGATAGCAAAAAAAACAAAAGAACGCAACTTTTTTCATATCTTCTTACTACAAAATGTGATTTTGAAAATATTAAAGTAATTTTCATGATGAGACTTTCAAAAATTATCTTTGATTTCAATCCTGACCTTAATTTAATGCTTGTAAAAAAAATGTTACTCAGAGAAATTGGAAGCCTGATGAGTGGATTTTAGAAAGAGATCAAGAATTTCTGAAAATGTAATTTGATAAAATCTCTACCTTCTTGATTACTTTATGATAGCTTTATAAAGTAAAGCTGGTTTTCTTTTTGTTTTTTAAAGCTGCCAAGGTACAGCAGCTCCACAGCGGAGATTTTGGTCAAGGTGACATTACTGAACCGAGCCCAGCTGCAGTCCAAGAGAACAGCTCCAGCCAACCACTGTGTGTCTTTGATCGTCGGCAACTGTGAAAACAACGTCATCTTTCTACAGAAACTCATGTGAGGAATACTCGTCTTACTCCCTCTGCAGTTAAAAAAT